CACACCCACACCCACACCCACACCCACACCCACACCCACACCCACACCCTCATTTATTAATGACGTCAACACTCTAAAAAAGAAAAAAACTCTTTGTGAAAGTAATGCCATACAAAATGGATAACAAGCTACAATGAAATCAAATAAGGTTCCATTTTTGAAGGGCTTCATCTTTTGAGATGCAATTAACTGAGCAGAAGGTTAGGAGTATGTTACGATCTGGGCTGTGATTCGCCGTATGATTCCTTTTTTTTTTTGAAAAATCATATATTTCCGTTGATTTTCCTATGTTTCCTCTATGTAGTCAAAAAAAGTATAAAAGCTTCACAAGATTTGATTGTACCCTGAGTGGAAGTGCAGAGATCTTTTCGTCGCTAGGGTGCCTTCTCCTAGTTATCGCTTTTTACGAAAAAGTAAAAAATGTGAATAGTTGCTTCTTGCAAATAAATTATATATATATATATGTATGAGACACGGTTCGACGTACAATACTTAAATTTTGGTCAATTTTTTACTTGTTGTAGCGGAAATAATCGTATAATTCAGAATATGAAATTCTATATAGGAATGGCTTTAACTTCGGAAATTTGTAATCGAATGTCAAGCTACGATCTGAATTTACTATGTAGGAATCAATCATATACACTAAGTAGTGGATGAAAATCTGGGAAGGCTCACTCGTTCGACATAATGGCATTAAGAATTTCACAATTAAATTCAAAACTCCAGTATTCCACCATCATATATGATTTTTATTGATTATAATTGCTTTAGGGAAGTTCCTCGTATATACAAGATACAGTCGATTTCAATCACAGTCTAAATCCTCGGTTATACATCGAATACATGGATAACTGGAAACATAAATCTAGCAAAAAATGAAATCTACAAATAGTAATCGAGCATCTCTTGATAAGAAATAAAATTTACTTATTGATGTCAATTACATCTACAAATATTATTTCAAATTCACTTGAACAAAGTATAAGCATCCATGTGTATTAGTTATTGAAATCTATCTTACAAGAAGATATAGTACATCAGATATGTCACATCAATCCAAATAGGATATTGACATAGAACGGGAGCAAACGAAATAAAATGAAGTATAGTTCTTCGATTAAAAATGCAAATATTGAGAAAATCATTGTGCATTCATTAATCATGAATAGATTTTTGTTGTGCGACGTTGAAAAATGCGCTTTAGCCAGTAACGCTTGAATATGTTTGCTAATCATTTGTAGACACTCACGATGATCCTTCGATATATGTGGTCGGTTTTGTTTAACAATATCTCAGTGCGTCGAATTTTGTATTACAAAACACTCCTTGCATTCTCTTTGAGCATCTATAATTGTTTCGCTGCTCAGAATGATAATATCGATATCTATATGATTTTGCAATATTTTTATATCGCGTAGCAGCTTGGTGTATATGTTGGACACTGTGTGTTGTGAATTTACATTGAGTAATTCAATCTCAAAGATATTGTTAATCTGACTCCATCAAGTTGAAATCGGTTCACCATACGAAGTGTATTCATCATTTCGATTAAGAATGTATTATTCACATAGAGCGTATCATCTATTTACTGAAATGAATATGAAGTCGCATTACCGTCAACATTATTACGCATGATAAATAGCGTGTTCAACCTGTGCCAATTTCATCGAGTCGGATGACATGAATGTTACTACTAGATCGATTTCATATCTGATCCTCATTCAATTTTTCAAATAACTCCCCGGTTTCACTGCTCTGATTCGCCGAACATACGATTAAGTATTTTTGAGTTCTGATGACGTTCGGACAAACATCGAATAATGGACACATTGGTGGAACAATCAACTCTAGGGAGAACATGCATTTGTTAAACAGATTTTGGTTGCAAAATTTCCGTGATAAGTTTGTGTTAATAAATAAATCTCCATATATTTGTGTAAAAATGCTATTAGAATCAAACAACTTCATTTTTAACACTAATATTTTCTTTGGCAATGTTGGCCATGTTTCGAGATAGCTGTATCGAAGCCTGCTTAACTACGCAATATCGTTGACGTAATTAGTAGCAAAGCGCAATAGCTTTAAATGGAACCATCAGTTATAATCACATTTAGTTGATTGATTTCCAAGTGAATAGGCTGCTCATAACTCATAGAAGTAATACTTGTACAAAAATTTTCGTAGAAAATATTTTATTATAACCATAATAGGTTTTTATATCGTATACAAACTTAAATTTATTTTGATGAAGTGAAAGAACGCACATAGTTTCACGAACGACACGTTTTCATGATCACGCAGTCATTGAATCAATCCTACTCCAATATTAGCAACTATAACAATATGAATAATTTCTTTTTCTTGAACACAGTATCTACAAGTTTTTTTCTACATCTATTTTAAATTCAGAATAATAGACTAACGTGAAATATTTATGAATTTGAATACCGGAATCATGGCATATTCTGTGACGAACTTGCCTACTACATTATTCAATGACATCTTACATTCGATTGATCAACAAGCAAAAAATCAACCAGCAATTATACAGACATTGAAGATGATGAAACAATCCCAACTGAAATGATTGATAATGACGTCATTATATCTCACACTATTCATACATTTTATTTAACAATAAATATCCGTGAAATTGATTGTCTTCATTTGCACAAATTGTGCACATGAAAGTAATATTTTAATGCATTGAGCTACTAATCGATGAATACTTGGAAGATCATGTATCTAAAATTTTCGACGATCATCATTATATCAATAATTTCACAATGATGAACTCAGTATGTATTTCTCATCATACGAATGCATTGATATACCCATAAATGAAAATAATTGACGCTTGCTTTCACGTCTTGAAAGGAGCTCTTTCATTGCGAGAGCAACAAAATTCTACTTTATATACTTCAATACACATAGTTTGGTCAGTATCTGACATAAATACTGATCACTATGGCAATCCAATCATTTAGAACTGATTACAAAAACTGGCGAACTTTGACGTGCTACTGCTAAGACTACTACTACTGATATATTCAATGATCGAGCGACATTAGAATGACTCACAGCAAAAAGAGACTGTTGTCGAGGAAGAAATTGAAAACAGTCCTCATTTTGTTAGTTTCGAATCAAATGGTTTTTTCGAACTTCGTCTAGCTATTCAACAAGTATTTAATGGCATCAAGAAAAATCTAGGTAAGAGTGATGCAGTTTTTCCATGACCAAATTAGTTGTCACTGATGGCAACAAAAATCAAATAGTGCGACATAATTGATACGACCGTTTATATTACAATGCACACATTGAAACCAATACAGACTTCACGCTGTTCAAGAACGTTAAATTTTAATATTAAAATGATTCATGTCTCCTCCTCAGTTTTGATTCAATCAACACTCGTAAAATATATGCATAAAGGAAAAGCCATTATTCTTTGCGACGACTAGTTTGGTGTATGGCTTGTCATTTCAGAAACTCAATTGCCGAAAATCTGCTGACATTTCTAAAGACACTATACAAAGCTGTATAATGACTCTATGAAATCTTACCAGCTATCATTATAAAAGTATCTTTAGCGTTCGAGAAAAATGAGACTATGATGCTCAATAGTATCTTGAAAATTACGCAAGACCTTGTTCGCATGGTTTTATCGTATTAACAAGAAAAGAATTCATTGACAGCTTATATATAAACTTCTTGGCTGATGTAGAACAAGTAGTCAATGCATTGTGAACAATTAATCAATACAGGAATTAAATCTAAAATGCCACATGAACAAGTAATTCGCCTGTAGAAGAAACGATTGGTGTCATGAGACGACTGAATGAATCGAACAGAATTGTTGCGAGATTATCCATGACTACTAATGAAACTCCCATTGTTATTCTATCTCAAATCCATATGCTTCAAGAGATTTAAATGTTGTTTCATCACTGCCTTAAATGAAATAGCTCCGTCAGTAATATGCACATGCACCTTTAAAAACAAATAATATCATACTTCTGTCATAGAAAAATTATTGATATAACTATTGATCCTAGGTAATTTTGCGATACACGATATGGATGTGAGAGTATTATCTTTGTCTAAATTCCACTTTGCACGTCAGTTATCTAATTTCACCAATCTCTAATTACGAAATCGCACAATATTATTTAATTTGGTATCTTTTTGTTATGAATTCGTTCTGTTCTACTAATTGAAGACAAAGTTGTGAAATTTCAATGTAAATAATTTCATAAAGTATTGGAATCATATGATTGTGATCGATAACGCATTAAGTATGACAAAGTATATCAAAATAGTTACTTTTGAACGATTAATTCGATTAAAATTACTATGATTATTCGAAGAAACAAAACTGATTTAAATTAAACAGCAAACCATAAAAATTTTTTAAATCATCAGAAACAACTAGAATTCTAAAAAGATAATCATACATCCTATGTGGCTTTCACTGATTTTTGCACATTCGATGCTTTTGATTGATATATGATAAATTACCAATTCTAGATGACTTTCATATAATCGCTAACTAGGTTCAAAGTACTTTTATACGCATAATAACTATATCTTACTTGATTTTAAAGTAATATTTAGGTAGATTAAGCAGCATATGTGTACAGCTTACCTGACTGCATGCTTGTAGTTGTAACCGTTGTTAAAGGTGTATTTGTTGTTGATGATGATGTTGTTGACGATGTTGTTGATGTGATAGTCATATCCTTCTTTGGTGCAAGTATGACATATTTTAATATTATAGAAAGTGTAACTGCTAATATTATTATCACAATAAATGAGATACAAATAATTTTAAACCAGCGATGATGCCATAATTTGTGCAGTCGATTATTTTCACTGACATGTTCGTTATGCATTATTTTTTTTTCTTATTTTATGTTCTACAAGAAACTTAAACTGATAAAATAATCAACTATTGTTCAACAAGACTTTCTATTTGTTGATCACTCTCATATGAGTAGCAAAAGAAAAGTTATTTTTAGATATGTGCTAATTTCAATGTTCTGCGGTTGTGAGCTTGGGCTTTTCGGTTTGCGATTAGTACTTCCTATTGTATTTGGATAATCTTTAATATCATAAAGTACTCTAGTTTGTTCACTAAACTCAATATGACGGATGTCGGGGCCATTAGTGAACGTGAGAGGTCGTATATTACTGTTACCCTACAAAAAGTAACTGTAATGAGGTAGCAGAAAGTTTTCGACTTCTTCAATCAAAATTGTATATCTTGAAAGTAACAGTTTTTTATTAAGTTGGATCAAATGGTATTCGAAGTTGAAGATTTCAAGTGTCTAGTATTCCATTTGCCAATTTCGAAAAAGTTCCGTTACCCCGTTACAGATACTTTGTACGGCAATGTTAAGTTATGATCCATAACACTAACTCCGACTCTCTACTACTATTATACAGAATTTAATAAACGAATCAGAGTATTTGATGATAATAATGATTGTTCGAATAGAATAGGTAGCGCCAATTCTCAATCCAATCTAAGTCCAAAAATCGAAAGTAGTGAGTTGATTTTATTATGAGCGTATACCTGGTAATATTATATTCGGTACTAAATACATCACTATATTCGTTTCTTTAAGGTGTAAGTGAAGATAGTCCCTACATCCAGGATTACACTTATAGTTTCATCAATAAAGAATAGTTTCTCGAAAGTGTTTCATTAGAAAGGTAGCAGAAATTAGTTATAATCTTTATGGCTCTGCTAATAATTGGGAAAATACAACGAAAGAGTTATTTCATTCACACATAAGATAACTGATGGTAGAGATATAGATGAATAGCAAACAGTTAAAAACTGTAAGATCATTCAGATATTTAGAAGTTCTATAGACGGATAGGTTCTTCCTCGTAACAACTGTCAAACACTATATAGAGAAGATTTAAAGTTCAACTACTAAATTCAGATGACTGAACAGAAATAATATGGTTTCGTCTAACGTTTTGAACCTCTACTTCTTGATATACTGCTTCTCATTTTCTTTTTAACTCAATTCTCCTTTCATTATTCTATCAGACATCATTTAGGAAACGCTTTTAGAGCGTAAGTTAAAGGCGAGATTAACAATAGTACATCGATTTTTCACAGTAACAGCGTATATACACGAACATATTAATCAAGTATCCCATTCCGAAGTAGGCGGATCGATATTTTATGGCAATGCTTTCTAATTAAATGTCTTTATGAAAAAGACAAAGAAACAAAATAGACATGCTCGTTAACGCGCATAAAATTGAAGATATTTCTCTAGAATATGCACAGGGTGGAAAAAAATGAGTCGTAGACACAAGCCATTTGCAACCAGTAGATTCTAACTTATTGAAAATTATTCATAATAAGAAATTAGGTAAGATTCTTTCACATATTGATGTGTTTTCATCCCATCTGTCGTCTCTCTATTTTTCATTTACCAGTGCTATATTCTTTTTCCTCTTCCTCCCTGTTATCATGTTATTGTAAGTGTCAATAGAAATAGTAATATAAAGTTTACATTAAAACATTCATAATCTAGTAATCTTTTTATAAACGAATGTCTGTAGGAGTGATATTACGAGCATAGGAACAATTCAAACGCTGACATAGGCCTTGCGCAGTGATAGGAGTGCGAAGTTACCGTTACGTTACCAGTTACTCGGTAACAGGTAACTTTTTCAATGTCAATTAGTTGGTAACGTAATGGCAACTTTCTTCACCTACTGAAGAATCTCAAACTTGAATAACGAATCGTTGAACATAATTTTACACAAGTCACCATTATATAATTGTATTTTCAAATTCTTCTTCATGCTATTTGTTTCATTGGTACAGTTCACGAAGAATATTCCTGCAATGGAAAGAAATATGAAGCAATCTCTACATATGTTTTGGTCGAAATTAAAATTTCTTTGTCTATGACCAGTTTACAGTTAAGGACGACAAACAGTTAAAGTATAGAGGAGTACAACAAATATAAATCCTGTCAAAGCCAAACATTGGATTCGATTGGATTTCACAATGTTTGACTTGAATTAAAGAAGTCATACTTTTTGTAAAAGTTCTTTTGTTTAAAAAAATAAACTTTTTCAGAAGAAATATATCGAAAAATCGAGACTCGAATTTTGAGATGTCGATTAAAGATTCAGATTTTCCAACTTCAATAAACTTTTTTGTAGAAAAATTACTGAAACGGATTTGGTCCTCATTCAAAGTGCAGGATCCTATCTATCTATGACTTTAAAATAACCTAGGTGATTCGAACCAGAAACATCCGACAGTATACAGGCATGATCAGAGTACGAATCTAAGAATAAATATAAATTATCATGAGCTACACATTGGTTTAATGAATCTATTGAATAAAAAACTCTCCAATTTTTTTTTATTTCTATATCGAAAGTCTTCTTTTTTGAGTAAAATGTAGCTGAATTCAAGAACAATTTAAATAACGGTTACATTTGACTCAAAAACAACCATCGACATATAAATAAAAAAATAAGATTTTTAATAAATAGACTCACTAAATCAACTTGCAGCCACAATTCAATACTCGGAACGAAGATTTAAATGTGTACAGAATACAACGTAGATTAAATGAATCATATGATATTTAATTGAGAAAATGAAAAACAATTGAAAATCTTGCATTCATGTTTGGAATCGTAATTATTCGGATCGTCAACATTGATCAAATTTATAGAACCACCATTAAATAGCACTAAAACAAAACTTTAACTATTGGCACGTGTGATTTTCTTTCAAAAAAAAAATATCAAGTTATTATCTATTTTCTAAAGAGTTCATTTTTTTAAAACTAAATCCACTTGCTTCATTATTTATTGGAGAAAACATTCCCTTTTTGAAAACTATTATTATCAACATTGATTAAAACATCTATTATATTCTTCTAGAATAAATATTAAGAAATATTATTTTTCAACAAATCTCAACTCTTCGTTGAGATTTACTAAGAATTCTTTTGTAAAGACTGAGATTTCAAATTTTGTAGAATATTTTCAATTCTCAAACGAAATTTTATTCTTATTAGACGAAAATCTTCGGAAGTCAAATACTTGAAATTTATTCATTCTCTCATATTCTAAATGTGTCCAAAAATATATGCGAAAGAGAGAAACTTTCTCTTTTTTCATATATATTATTTAAAAAGCCATCGAAGAAAAGTCAATAAAATAAACTTTTTAAGAAAGATTTCATTTGATTGACTCATATTGTAATTAAAACCTGCGTCAATGTTAGATAGGCCTTAGAACAAGTTTTTTTTTCAAAATCGCGAAATTCTAACATTAGAAAATAATTCCACTATCACTTAATTCAATTTTACTAGAGAGACATTTGCCTTGGTTAATACAAAATTTTCGATATAACAAGCGTTTTATCAAACGTATCAAATCTCTAATCGTAGACAAATGTGTCGAAATCTGCATTGTATTCATTGTTAAAAAACTGTAAAGCACTATTCGGAAAGCAACACACAAAGTAAGAAATAATTATCGAAACCAGTTTGAAAGTACATAACTTACCTTGTTTTTGTTTTCCGGACCATGTTGAACATTTTCACTAACTACAAGCGAAAGAATTCAATAATTGAATACAAAAAGAATTGGTCTATGAATGAGACATCTCTGTGGATGTGTTTGTTTCAGAAGACTTTCATTTGTCAGAGATGCGGCGTCTCTACATGCATATCGAAATAGTTTGCCGATAGGATAGCAGAACTATGAAAATCTTTATGATTCATTTTCTAAAAACAAAAATAAAATGATGAAAAATAGCATGAAAAACAATATAAAACAAGTTAAGCAAATGGTTGATTGATTGTGAAAGAAAATGTTGAAAATAGTATTATTTCCCAAGAATATATTCAAGATCTGCTTGTCTCACGCACAGATTCATTTGATCATTCATTATATATTCAATCTGTCAACTTTTCTTCCAATCTCATTATTTCTTCTTTCACAGTTACTAAGACAATAGGCAAAAAACAAATACAGTTAGTTCATCTATCTAGACAGAGATGTTCTATAGGCTGAAATAATTTTTTTTGCATAAAAGTAAGTTTTAGTACTTCGTCTCAAAAACTTGATTCTAGTAAGAATTACCATTAAAAAAAGGAGCAAATATGAAATTACTTCTTACGAATTCTCTCTGATCACAATTGATTTCATACTATTGTACAAAGCATTCAAAAGTGAACAAAAATGGACAATTTGAAGTTCAGATATTATCGGTTTTTGACATCCATTTTTCTGAAAGAAGTTTTATGAAACATGTTTAACACTTCTTTTTGAATTTTTTTCAATGGAAGACAACAGTTCGCTTTTTATCCACTAATATTTCTAGAATTAGGTTTTTGAGACAAAAAGTCAACTGTGTACTTAGATATAGTTTCTTTCCATACTACATTAGATAGTTGAACTCTCATACTATTTGTATTATTACTCTCGAATCAGATTTGCAATCGTTCATGTGAAACAATAATTGAAAAAAATCAATATGTAATAAAAACGAAAGGAAAAAATTCACAAAAATTTTTATCACTGCCTATAAGTTACGTATGGTACTTTATTTGTTTCGCTGTCTGTACTCACTAACGAAAGATAAAGATGTTCATAGCTTTGAAAAGACAGTATTAACTGGCAATCATACTCATATTGCACTATATCAAATGTTCGTAGTTGTTTATTGAATCAACTTTATGAGCCTGATCTCCTGATGGTACGAGTTCTCATATTGGGAGATATTCATGTCTTATACAAGTAGTAGACGAATGAAATGATTAAAAGAGAGATGATGAAGCTGGAGCGAGATATATGTTGTCAGCATACACGGTAGCAATGACGCTTAAAAAAA